ATAAATGAATATAAACCAGAGTATTATTTATTACCATTACTATTACTTCTACTGCTACCACTACTAATATAAGTTAACATGAGTATGTGGAAAACGTTAATGATTGGACGTGTGTCGGCCAAATTTTACTGAAACGTCCCAAATACCTCGGAAGGTCTATTTCTTGCTGCGCTTCTGGCACAAGTCTGTCGGCATAAGAACAGTAAAATATATTATTTATTTCAATGCAACTTTTAGCGTGCTTTTTATACTGTCCTTAGCGTTCTTAAATTGGATACGGATATATTTACCGCCATTGATTTATAGCGAATAGGAGCAGTGATACTAGCGGCTTTTTTTAGTATAGAACACCTGATTTTCCTACATTTGTTAAAAGGAAATACCACATTTTTGCTGCATGCTTGCTTAAATATGTGAAAAGGCATACTGTAATAACCTAGTTGTTCGTTCTCCTGAACTATGGCTCCTGTCCATATGTAGTACATCAAATGTTGCAAAAGCGATCTTCCAACCGATGAAACCCGGCACTTTCAAATGTATAAGAATGAAAAATCGTTTTAATTTGTAAAAAATGTAAGACGTATCATGCTAATTCAAACGGTGCACATATCCATGACCTACCAATTCATTTTTATCCTAAATATAATAGGTTTGCGCTGATAACAGGCCTAACTTTAGGATGCTTATCTACGGTTGCAAGTAAAAGTTGTAGCTGTGCAATTTGTCTTCGTGCGCTTCCCCCGATTATCGTCCCCGTTATTTCAGAGCAAAAACTACTTCAAGGAGTAATATGCCTTTCGCGGAAATTGCTTTTATACGCGAAATAACGAAATTATCTGGTCTTAATGGTAAGCTGTACTAATGACTTTTGTCTCACATGTACTCAAAAACAGTTGTAAATAACAGCCATGTAAGACCTTGTTTGTCCAAAGTTCACCGTCCCGCATTTCTACAAAAACCCATAAGCGGAACGTTCATATTCAGTTAGGAATCATGATTTCTGATTTCCACGGACTGCATAATCGGATATATTAATTGCATCTGTATTTGGAAGCATGTGCTACAATTCTCACAACCTGTCACAAGAATAATAACTATGGATAGTCACCGCTTCTGTTAACGAAAGGTGACTGGACTGACCTCTGATTAACTGGACCCTGCTGGCAAACACTTCGATGATTACTCATTAATTGATATGCATCCCTTTAGGACGCCATTAATCGAACGTAAACCGAAACGTCAGTATGCTGTCCAGAGATTAAAAAAACAATGTTGAACACTTTTTGAATAAAAATCTGACAGACGGACAAAAACAGCACTGCGGAAGTTTTGGATTTGAGCTGATTGCCAACAGCACTATCCAAAACAAGATTTGGAAGAAGAAGTAGCAATTCTTTGGATTGAAACGTCATGAACTGTAAAAACAATCTAAGCATGATCCCAGATGCGAAAGGATCTAATTTAATTAAAATTAAGGTTCCGTAACGGAACGTATGTTCTCAGTTGCTTTAAAACATTCCACTAGACTTTTCGCCCTGAGAACCTGCTCCGCAATCTGCTGCAGCCAATAATCTCTCCTCCCCAAAAAAACATTCAAGAGTTCAGTAACCTAGATATCTTTAATTTATTGCTTAGCTACCCTTTGAAATCGAGCTCTGAAAATGATCATTTCTACTTATCGAAATACATAGATGCAGCAAAGACTATTCCTGATGACCAAACAGACCACCCTTGGATAACGCACATGCATTCTTGATGCAAAAGGAAATTTGCACCTGGTCAGATTTGGCAAACCTCTCATACGCATCTGTTATTTCAAAAGCGTACTTTTCTATCCGGTAAAGTAAACTGTAAGGAGAGTTTTCAGTCTTCAATGGTTACTTTTTGAAAGTTAACAAACATATTACATGAAAATTACCGTTGTGTCTTACACTTCTGCCACAGGCTTTACATATCACACCCCTAATCATATGATGACAGTTCCCAAACAGGAATTACGTCTCGATGGGTTTCATCGTTTACTTTAAATTTGAGGAAGACTGAATGGGTAAAATATCCAAAAAGCGTAAGCTGCATCCACTGCCGGTGTTTAAAACCCATGGGCGTAAAGCATGATTGTAAATCTGGAGACAGTCCTTTTATCCAGTCTTACACATCATGCCAAATTTTAAACTTAGTCGTTTCACAGGACGCCGAAATACGCTAAACAATTTCAAACAATCCTCGAAACATAATGACCAATTACGTATGGTATTTACGTAATGGACAGAAATTCAAGATAGAGTGGTTTCTTGTAAGCCGACTGAAATATCAAGCCTTCATTCACAGCTTTGATTAAAATGAATTGCAGTCCTTTTATCCCAACGGCTAACTAGTACATAATAAGTGGGTTTTTAAAGAAAAAGGGATTGCTGCCAAATTTGGGCCGCTTTATAATGAATTATTTCCAAATTTTTGGACTGCTTTTAGTGTCTTTACGAAGAGAATGTTACTATAAATTTAGCGTAATACACACAAGTGGCGAATGTTATATTTATTTTGATCTACCTTACTCCATTAACACAACAGTGTCCTTCGTTTTCTGCAATGTTTTACGACACGACATTTTACAAGTGGACACAGTCTTCGTACTCTCGCATAGTTCTTCAAAAAATGCTGTCAAATCCTTGCGCATATGTCCAACATTTCACTATCTTCTAAAGCCTAACAGAGACTTTAACTGCTATTCGACGACGAAAACATCCCTTTTTAACAAGTAACCCACTTTCTGCGGAGCACACTCGGAACGAAATAAATATCATCCAAAAATATTTATGGAGAAAAGGAGATGAGCTTAAATTATTTTAATGCTGGTTCATGTGTTGCATTCGTATTTCGCATTCGATAGAAGAAATAAAAAGGTACAGAACGGAGGTCGTTGTATTTTGAGGTAGAATTGTGTTGAGCAAATTATTCTTAGCAAAATATATGAATTCTACCGACGTGTGACCCGCTAAACCGGTATAAAGGACATCGCTGCGTGCGCATATACGTCTTCTACCATGACACAAGCGCCGTTGCCAAATCTTAGAGGTGGTTTCTCTTTTTAACATAGCATATTGTGCGAAAACTCAGGCGGCAAAATGTATTTTTAAGTTATCTTAGCAGAAAGATGTTTTTAACAACTGTTGCAAATCGCGTAAATGAGAAGGTTAACTAGACGTGTAGTTGTTTCATAAACAGACTTAGCTATTTAATTCTCCTCGCAAAGTACCATAAGTGAAAATTATTTGTTTTAGCCTACACCTAGACCCCAGTGGGCTTATGACCCACGACTTGAGGTGGCTGCCGCGTAGCAACATAGCAGACCATTCGAACTCTTGGTCTTTTGGGTTCAGGGTTACAGCTTGGCTAGCTGACACTGGCCAATAAAATAGTCCTTTAGGCCATTTGCGCCTTGATTACTATACTATCCATTCTTATTTAACTTTCGGCCCCATACACGCCACTCTCCTCCACCTGCAATGCCTCCTGATCTGAGATGCACAGCGGGATGGAATTTCATATTCCATTCTGAAATATGGCAAGACAAAGTTACTACGATGTAACATGGAATATACCGTTTTACTGACAAGGGCGCAATAGCATCCTCTAATAATTGAAATAAAACAATTTGCATTGAGACAACCCCACCTGTTGTACAATTAACATAGTGCAAACAATTGGATTTGTTCATTTTAACCCAATTATGAAAAACTCGGCGATCTCAGTGGGCTTTAAACCCAAGACAGAAAGGAAAAGGCATTGGTACAGCAAACACTCTTGCCGCCCAAATTACCATACCCTGCTGGGAGCCGTAAATTTAATCACATCTGGGTCGAGTAACCCGCCCGGCTTTAAATTGGGCCTCGCAATTCAGGTGGCTAAAACGTTGGCCTTATTAAAGCCTTCCTCTCGCTGCCGTGAGTTCGAATCCCGCCGAGGTCACCGAGTTTTTCAGAATTGGGTTAACATTAGGCACTCAAAATTTGTCAAAGCACCTTTTAATAATATTTCTAACGATCTTTTGGATGACAGATGGTGGAGAATCTGATTATATGTGCCACTCCTAGACTTAGTAAACAAGCGTCCAATGCACTGAAGATTTTTAGAAAAAGTCATGTCAGATGCAGCGTGCCTCCTGGAGTTGAGATAGCACTCCCGATGGCGACTTATAAATCAAAAAAGTTTAGTTGACTGCTCTTGTATTTTTCGGTGCATTTCTTTTACCATTACTGTCTGCCAGTTAGGATGTGTCCGCCGAGTGTGAATTGTACATCTCCGAATCTAAGTCAAAATAAATATGCCTAATTCATTCTTAAAATCTTGATAGACCGATGCTCACCATTTCCATGTAGCTGAACGTTACAGATCTCTTCGGACAGGACACCAGTTAGTATCGCGATAATGAAAGCGCTGTTCGATTGCCAGCTGACTTGGGTTCGAACCTCTAGCGCGACAGCACCTGTGGTTTGAAATACTGGAGTAACTCAAATGTCAGATGCGCGTACTTATCCGAAAGGAACAGAAGTAGTTCCTAGTTGCATTGTTCCCACCTCATTTGACCGCATAACTACTTCTGACAAACTATTGTACAAAGGGTAACAGTCGCTAATTTAGTAGTTATAGGTCTGCAATTGAATTTCGACTTCAGGAAACAAAGACTGATTACTTATAATAATACTGAAATAAAAGTTTATCAGAGGTTTGTCGACAAACTTCTGACAAAATTCACCTCATATAGTGAAGAATGCATTATGCGACCAATTTTATTAACTTTTACAGAACATGGCAAAAAGCCTTTACATAAAAATGCGTCTGCATAGCTCACTTCATAGTGTTTCCCATTTACAGTACAACTATTTGTAGGATATGAAACCGCAAGTTTGGCATATGGACAAAAGACAGGTCAGTTTCTTTGGCGGACTGGCTAACCTCCCGCACACTAACCAGTTCGCGTAGACACTAACTTGGACAACTCGTCACATTGGTCTTTGTCGTATCTGGTAGCGTCGAAACTCGTTTGAATTGCTGCTGTCAGTAAGGCTTTCCTCTGACGAGTACCGCCACACGGGCTCCTGTCTATCCCCCTTCCAAATATACAGCACGTGTCCATTGTCCTTTCGTCTCCTCTCTTGTGACCTGTGACGTTGATAACTTCGGCTGCGTGTACAATCACTATATGTCATATCCTCAGTGCCAACGCAGCCAGTCTCCATTTGATGCTGTCGCTCAGCTCTCTTGCTATTGAATGTTGCGTCACGACTGTATGCTCGATGGGCACCAACTCGCCGTGCTGACTGACTGCGGGTGGAGAAGGTTGCTGGGGGGACGTCTTCCACTGAGGTAGTCAAATAACTTTGGCCATTTCTCGCCGACTTGAATCTTTGAGCTGCCCGTTGGGCCTGCATTCGCTGATAATTTTGTGAGCCGACACCATTAAGCTGCTGGATTCGCAATGCCTTTGTATTTTCGGAACTTTGTTGGAACATCCGAGTACTGAATTCCCTACGCTGCATACTCTTACTGCGAGATTTTACCAGACGTTGAGGTCTGTCAACATACACCCTGTGAGCACAGTGTTCACAAAGTTCTGGCTGCAGCTCTGATGCACACAATGCGCAGATACTTCTGGGGACTGGTTCTCGCCTAGCTTTACTTCTTTCCCGTCTCGCTCTGAGCATAGTAGCGAAATCAGGGGACTCGCTATCTATGAAGTTGGGTTGTAGTTGTCGAGTACTCAGAAGAGCGGCAGATTTTTTTTCCAGTTTCGAAGTTGCTTCGTCTGTCTCCGGCTGGCTGTAGATATGTCTAGGTTGTATCTTCCTACTGGCCACAGGATACCCGTTTTCAAGAAACCAGGCTGCCTCTGCATACAGCTGTTCACTCCGTTCCACCTGTTCATCATAACCCAGATCTTTCTTGTCTGAAACCTTGTTATTCGCAGGAAGCGTCTTAACTGGCCGCTTTTGCAAAGGCTTCGGCAGTTGATTTCCAGGCATCACCAATCTTAAGCATTCACAAAAGTTGATAGCAGTCTGAGAGTCTTCAAATGCCAGGGCTTGGTAGTGCGGAGGCTTTTCCCTCCCATGAATAGCTATAACGACACAATTGTCATAACGAGCAAACTGATAAAAGTGTTGAATTTCGTTTACTCCAATCTCAACAAAGGGCGGTAGCTTGCCCGATTTTCCTTCTGGCTCAAATTGGAGTAAAGTGTTTGTAAAATTGACGGTCGTAGGGACGACCTTCTGTTCTGTGTTGAGAGCACTAACTACCTCCCAGGCGCGATCGGTATTAAATTTATCGGAGGAGGCGTCAAAAAGGTCCTCAAGGATGGCCGCAGTCGCCGTGAAATGGGTGTTCATTTTTCCTGCTTCAGAGAATGCAGAAATGGCTTCTAAAAGGATGTACCGCCTCCCGTGAAGGAAATCACGTGTTTTACTGGGCTCCTTTCGAGGGCGTGGGCGTGAAATTCAAAGGACTTTGTGTACCTTTCTTGTTGAACAGTTCGTTGATCAGGTGTTCCAGCAGTGCAACTGAGAGCAAGAAAAATGGAGGCCAAGAGCACAATCTGATATCCAGAGTAACGACAAAAGAGGACCTGGGGCAAATGGCAGTTTTTGGGGTTAGTCGTAGTGTGAGTACGTTGATTGAGCACTTGATTCCTGTGAGTTTATGGTTGGTTTGCCAACACGTTCACTATAAGAAAAGCGACTGGCAGAATGATTTGAGGAATCACAGCTTACATGCCGAAGAGCTTGCTGAGTAAGCGTGTCTGCACGGGAGCCAATTAAAGTATGCGAATTATTGCCAAATCCAGCGCCTTTCGATCTATACGTGCCATGCTAACGAGAGGTGCTCAAAAGGGACTATTATCGCGGTTGCCCTGACAACAATGAGTGATCATGTGAGTTCCGTGTGCGCAGATCCACTAATATCTGCCATTGGAAGTAGTTCAGCCAGATGTGCGGTATTCGTGTTCTTCCGAAGTAACATGTGCTCTCTGTAACCTCTCTGTTTCACAACTTCATATACAGTGGACCCACGTAACCTAATGAAATGAGAAGGATAAAATCAAGGGGGTCGTACATAGAATTAAAAATAAATGGAGTTTGTCGATTTTACTTTCGTCGTCTTAGAATAGTTATGGAAACAAGGAAAACTCTATTGAACACAAATAAGAACAGCCGATGTTATCTGCTAACAAAAGCTGCTTTTTGAACGCAATTTTAGGTCATTCGACTAATTTCTGAAGTATTTAGAAATGGTGGCAGTTTGCGTAAGTAGGCAGTGAACATAATTTGAGTCAGAATTATCCCCAAGGACCTTCGTCAGTAAGTGACTTTTTTGTACCAACTGCCCTCTGACTTGTAACATAACGTATATGCCATTTTATTCATCATAATTGCGGCAGAGAAATTCCGCAGGACCTTTTACCTGGACTTTCGGGAACTGTGGTGTCGGTGAAAATATGCCTTGTCCTATAGTTGTGTTAAACCCTCGAATTCCACAACAACCGTATTTTTGCTTTTGAATGATTTTAAAACTCACTGTGTACCTAATGCTAGATCAACTCTTCACACTAGATGGACAATCTCATTCTGACTGAGAGTCGTCAATGGTTCTTTAACTTATATTTCCTCAGCACACATCATTACTTAGGTTGTGTGTGAGGTAACTCGCTTAATTACCGCGCTCTTACATTTAAAGGTTTGAAATCGCATCTCTCAGTAATCAGAATTGTCTAGGGTTTTAAATAGTGAGTGGTTATTTAAAAAAACGTTGAGGACACACGGGTTCTGCTTATCACTCCGGCATATTTTAAATGTTGCATTATCTTTCTGCCTAAAAGCTCTGCGCGGCGGACTGAAACCCAAAAACGCCTTACGCCGAAAATGAATTTTGAAAAGTAACATAAAACACCACACATGTGGAAGTCGTTTTAAAGTGACACAGTGGTCTTGGGAGGAGTTATAATAGTAAGTATGATGGATGTATCTTTTCATAACCTTCTCAAATTCAATTTACAAATTTTATTTGATTCGATTTGTTAGCAGACATGCATACTTAGCAAAAAGTCCACGTTTATAATGTTCGTACAGAACGTGCACTTTTCTAACAAATATTTGCAACTATGAAGAGTCACTTACACAGAAGTATCACAGCAATTTGATCAACCAACGGACTATAAAAAATTCAGTTACCATTTTCTGCATTTAATTTATTAAAGTCGTTGACTGAATTCGTGAGTATATCGAAGTCAAATTTGACGGCTTTTCTAGCCAAGATCATAGAGGCCAGTTAAAATTGTTGTTGTAAAAAAATGATGACTTTAACTAGCTCGCCTTACGCCATTCTTACTTTAATCCGTATGTTCTCTGGATGTTCCAGGGAAGTATTTATCATAAATTTCTATAACTTTGGAAGTTCATTTATGGAGTCCTCATTAAGTCAACGCAGAAATTGCCTACATTTACGCCGTATTTAGAGACGAAGCTTTTGTGCTACCAAAGCGAAACCAGCAAAGTCATCAGACACAATGCCAACGTTCCCCCCGTAAGTCCCACTTTATTCCTTTTTGTTAAAGTCAGTAAAGAGTGCGCATCTACCTGATAGCCATTCATAACTAGACGGCCATTACTCACATTTTCCGAAGAACTGCTAACATTTTAAAACTCGTCCTCTAGATCTGCGACTGGGACTGATTATCTTGTGCATTCTGTATTTTAACTCTACAGCTTGAACTCTCCATTTGCCATGCGTAACTGAGGATGAGAGCCTTCGTAAAGGACATGCTGGCGGACCATGCAGACAGACGTAGCACCTGACGTCACTTGGCTACAAAACTTTCAAAGGACAGACTATTAGTCATAAGTGAAACATTTCATTTCATATTATTTTCGGCTTGTTAGCCATCGCCAGCAAACGCACCCAAACTACAAGAGTTTAAAAGTGAGGAGCTTAGACTAAACTCCTTAGTCGTTAAAACATCAGTCAAATGCTCTATCATTAAGTTACGTACTCGCCGTGATTCATTTTGTGAGCAGGGACATGCATGGATGTGACGAGTCATTCACTGACCAGTCCGACGTTAGTGCGGAACATGCTATTTCTTTTTTTCGTAAATTCATAATCCAAATATTTTACAGGTAGCCGCATAGGGACAGATATTTATGCAGAAGGAGGAGGTATGCTTGGCCAGTAAGGATAAATCATTCAGAAATAAGCGTTCGAATCCCTCTTTCCTTTTCAATATCCTTTTTGCATCTTGACTGCTAACTGTCAGTATTCTGTATTGAAATGTATGTCCTGCGTCGAGGCAACATCGGTGAGCATCATTTTTATCTCACCCGCTTTGAGTTTATGATACAAATACTAATAACGATAGTTCAAAAGAAGCGGAGATATTTGACTACTGCCCTCATGAAGTTATGAAGCCCTCACGCAAATTTACTTTAAGGAGTCACTAATGATAGTCTCGTTTAATGACCGAAGGAACATTTGGTCAAACAGAAAATGGGGGACAATCTCCAGCCTTCATTTAATTGCGAAAAATGTGATTTTCGGCGACAAAATCTCAAATGCGGAAACCAAGAGCATCGCATTATTAAGTTCATAAATTGAGTCTCAAGACCATATAGTCAGGAATCTTCCAAAATAAGCAGAAACAACACGGGGGAACAATGTCGGCTAATTTCCTTAAAAGTACTGAGTGACCTGCGAAGATTCGCGCTCAAGATTAAATAAGAGACTTTTGTTGGTGATTTTACCCACCTTGTGAATATTCTAGTTGCTCAAATTCAAAATGTTCTAGCTTTAAAGTTTATTCATATGTCTGCTACTAGCAGGAGGGCGCCCAGAAATGACTCTTGTCAGCGACTTCAAAATACCTGTTTCCTCCGAAATTTTCTTATGTAAGTCAAACTTATGAGTGGAAACTGAATTAAAGCGAGGTATTGATGATTTTAAATATTGCCGGGACTCTCTTGACAGCTTTCTAGTCTCGTAATTCCATCCTGTACAGTTTACGCTAGTGACCCGTGTCTGGACTAAGGGCTCTTTTGAAGGATTTACCAGAAACTTTAGGCTTTCTCTTTTCTTTGCTATATATCTACCGGACTCGCCTAATTTCATCACAACGGGCTGACTTAGTTACACTTATCGAGCCCTTTCTCACCCGCAACTCCGAAAAAGCCGTCAGTAGTATAAAGATTATACGAGCATTTGCATAAAAATTTGACCCGATAAAGCAATGAGTTTGAATAAAAAAATTCAGGAAAAACACGCAGATTCAATTGCACGATGTTTCACGCCTGTTTATTATACTACGTCCTCGTACCTCTCCAACACTATAAGTTAGTATACGTTGGGCTGTTTAATTATATAACAATAAACCTGTAGAATTTATGCTCGTAATGACATGCGAAAACTCAAATATGATATATGTTCTGAGCGGGTGCTAGTGTGCTATTTGGCTGTGCGGGACATTTACTGCAAACTTATTTGCTTACGGAAATCTTCTCTGAGTGGTTGGAACAAAACTTTTAGGAATGCGGAAACTAAATACTAGCAACGCAATAATGTTTCCTGCTGCTGCGAGATTAATTAGTTCACCAGTACACCTGAATGCTTTAATACCTTCAAAAGCAATTTCCGAGGAATTCTGCTTTTGATTCCCTCTTCGTAGAAAGTTTTACAAAAGATTATTTTTATTCAAAGTCAAGATTGTGATCAGGTTTGACCGTTTCACCAGCCTATATTAGTAAATCGGTAACTTTAACCATAGGACCAGCTTCCAGATAACACCAAGGCAATCCACTTTTTATACCACAAATCTTTCTGTCTCCTTTCAATTTAGCGACGAAATTCTTTATATTTGCAGTTCGGTATATGACTTACGTAAGGACTGCCTTAAATCTTTTATTAACTATGGTGTTTGTCATGTTACATTTTGCAAGTTCACACATTTGTTGTCGGTTAAAACATGTTCGATTGCCGTGCCAAATTCCTGCGATGGAGAGCTCTTGTCCGTTAAATCTGCCCAATACATGCATAATCCCGCATCTCAAGAAACCGCCGTAGTTACTGTTAGCCGTCTTATCAACATAATGGATGCGGTTTTACCAGCAATCAGTTTAGGAGTAAAATATCTATGAAGATAGTCTCCAAAGAGGAAACAATTTAGTGCAAAAGACCGTAAAAGAAAATCACCTAGATCATTATTGTTTTACCAAGGGGTATTTGTCTTTTGATTGTACATGTTTGTTTGCTGTGAGGTGGTTTTCAGAGTTTAAACAATGGGCGATGGAGTGGGCGGTTTTAATTTTTAGTTCCCTCTCAAATGATCCCAGTGGCACTGCGATGA